GTAAAACGTTTAAAACACACACGCACACACACACACACAACCAGCTCACATTTGTTGGGAGCTTTGTATGTGTTAGTTGCATGGCTACACGTGCGTATGTTTTCTCTTCTTATCTCATCCACAATATAAGATGCTTTTCTTCGTCTTATTCCCTTTTCTCATAGAATAACTTGCACCAGCCCAGCATTTGAAAAGCTTTGTTGATGTAATTCTCTCCATTATCCTGATTTTAATCAATAGCTTTAAGCAGCCCCTGTGAGCAATCGATCATCGATTTTTAAATGCAGTAGAACTTAATTCCTAATGAAAAACACAGGGAGCCCAAATTGCCCTCTCAAAAACAATTTAGCCTATTGCCCATCATAAAGCAATTTCCATTTCTTATGAGAACATCCTGGAGCTGTTCTGCCCAATTAGAAAACAGGATCTATTAGGGATGCAGGTGAATTGAACAAATATTTACTTACAATATTTAACTTAGTTACAGCTGAGATTCCATGGTACCCAGGGTCCATCCTGGGAAAGGGTCCTGATTCAGCCTGTCCTGGGTTCTGCCACTTTCCTTTATCAATTTGGGGGATGAGTCTACTCCCCAGGGCTCAGTCTCTCTATCTGGAAAATGGGCACAGTGTGAGTCCCTCCATGGAGGGATGTTGTGAAGGTTGGTGAAGTGACACATAAGAAGCCTATGTGCACTGGGCAGACCAGTGGCCCCTGCTGGGTTTCTGATTTCCCCTGAGATGCTTCCTGGGGGCCGGATCCACAGCTGGAGGAAGGATGAGGCCCAGCCCTGGAAATTCTTTTTTTTCTCATATTTTATCAAGCCATTTTTTTCAAAACTCTTCCCATGTAATTTCTTTCTTAATTTATTGAAGTATATTTATTCTTTTTTTATTGAAGTATAGTTGATGTACAATATTATATGTTACAGGTGTACAATATAGTGATTCACAATTTTTAAAAGTTATGCTCCATTTATAGTTAGTATAAAATATTGACTATATTCCCTGTTTTGTGCAACATATCTTTGTAGCTTATTCCATGTAATTTCTATATTTCTTTGGCATTCCTGGAGCCACTTTCTGGAAGCATCGCACCGGGTTTTCTTGAGTATATTGTGTTCACTTCTAAATGTTTTTCAGATAAACCACTTTTAAGTTTATTTATGAAATCTGTCACTGCAAATTTTACTTCTGGCTTCAAAAACCTGTTGCCTCATTTTTCTTGTGAGAGTATTTTTAGGCACTCAGGAATGTAATTACAAATTCTGCTGTTTGTAAAAGTGATTTTTAAAAGTCCTGTTTCACGATCTAACATTTGAAATTGTGAGGTCTCACCCTCAAATATAATAAATAATCTCTGTCAGATTTCTTTATCTCCTTTCTTCTTTAACTGATCTGGTAGGTGACTTCCATAAACATCCCATAAATATCTCAAATTATCTCTGACTGGGTGTCAATCCTACGCTGTTCAAAGCCAAGTAATGGAGAGAGGGCTCTGAAATACGGGAGACTTTGTGAAGACTCAAATTAAGGATACTCTTTTCTTCCCTGAGGACTGATTTTGAAAAAACACATACCTAATCATGTAGATACAACAACTGGAACTTTAGAAATTATAAATAGAAGTCATAGGAGTGGGTTTTTTCCTTTTTCATCACAAGTTTCTTTTTAATTTTTAAGTGTAGTAAAACACAGGTAACATAAACTTGATGGTCCTAACTGCTTCTAAGTGTGATGCTCAGTGACGTCAGATACATTCACGTTGTTGTGAGGCCCCTCCCCCCACCCATCTCCAGAACTCTTCCATCTTGCAAACTGGAACTCTGTACCCATTAACACTACCTCCCCGTTCCCTCTCCCCTAGCCCCTAGCCACCACTGTTCTACTTTCTGTCTCTATGAATTTGACTACTCCACATGTCTCTTTGAGTAGAATCACACCGTATTTGTCTTTTTGGCTTATTTCACTCAGCATAATGTCCTCAAGTTTCATCCATGTTGTAGCATGCCAGAATCTCCTTACTTTCCAAGGCTGAATAATATTCCTTGGTATCTGTATGTCCCCTTTTGTGTCTCCATCCATCCATCAATGGACACTTGGGTTGCTTCCACCTTTTGGCAGTTGCGAATAATTACTGTGTATGTGGGTATGCAGAGATCTCTTTGAGACCCAGCTTTCAATTCTTTGGGGGTGTATATTCCGAAAGTGGAATTGTTGGATTAAGTGGTAATTCTGTTTTTACTTTTTTTTTGAGAAACTACAATACTGTTTTCCATATCAGCTATATTCTTTTCTGTTTCCACCCCAAATGCATTGGGGTTCCAACTTCTTCACATCCTTGCCAACATTTGTTTTTGTTTGTTTATTGCTAATAGCCATCCTGAGTGAGTTTTTAGAAATTTTTTTATTTTTCATTTTTAATTTCCAAGATTAACTTACTTACTTACTTACTTTATTTATTCATTTTATTGATGTAGAGTTGATTTACAATGTTGTGTTAGTTTCTAGTACACAGCATAGTGATACATATATATATATGTTCTTTTTGGTATTCTTTTTCATTAGAGGTTATTACAAAGTATTGAATAAAGTTCCCTGGGTTATACAGTAGGACGTTATTGCTTGTTTATTTTATAGATAGTAGTTTATATCTGCTAATCCCAAACTCCTAATTTATCTTTCCCCCCTTTCCCCTTTGATAACCGTAAGTTTGTTTTCTATGTCTATGAGTCTCTTTCTGTTTTGTAAGTTCATTTGTGTCATTTTTTTAAAGATTCTGAATGGGTTTATTTTTAACGTTTTGTTAAAAATAAAACTAAATTTTTCCTCAGTGTCCTTGCTTTATGAGGGATGTTTGTTTTATATATAACAATTATTTTCTAATAAAGATGACAACCATTTATTCATGATTGATGACACTGGATAGTGCAATGTAAACCAGCAGATCTGTGAGGGTTACATTTTCCAGATGAAGCTTAAACACCATATATTGAACGTAAAATTTCTTATAGGCTAGGAAGAAAGAGGAGAACAGACATTTATTTGGCACCTACTGTGTGTTAGGCTTTGCATCAGGCACTTTGTGTATATTTTGACACAACCTTCATCACAGCTCTACTGATATGTGTTAATACTTTCATTATGTATATTCAGAAATAGAAACTCAGAGAGAGTAAGTGACTTGCTAAGGTCAGGTAGACAGCATTGCAGATGTGTCCAAACCCATGTCTTTTTGTTTGTTTGTTTTTATGAGGGGGAGGTAATGAGGTTTATTCATTTATTTCTATTTTGAGGAGGTACTAGAAATTGAACCTGGGACCTCGTGCATGCTAAGCATACACTCTACCATTTGAGCTATACCCTCCCCACCAAACCCATGTCTTGTGTTGTGCTCTGCTATCACTTGCTGTCTGTTAGGCATAAAACACCTCATTTGTCCAATCCATGTGGTTTCTGACATCCTTTCAATACAATAGCTCATGCGTTCAATACAACAATCCTATGAGTGGTTAGAATCCATGTTATCCAGATCCATATTTTTTTTTTTTTTGCCAGTGGAGGAAATTGTAATTCACAGAGTCATGTGCTCACAAAACTTGCTGGAGGCAGAGCTGGGACTCAAACCCAGGTCCTTTCATTCCAGATCCGGAGGACCTCTCACTTTACCGTGATCCCTTTTGCTGTCCTGGGCAGCTCACACAGGGAAGTCATCCAGCCTTGTTAAGAGAAAGTTAGATATTACATTTTGTAGACCCTCTTTTTGGTGAAAGGTCTTGGGATGTACAGTGCTTTCTAATTTATATTTGATCAACTTAGTAAAAGGCCTGACATCTCCCATTCCGTTCCTTATTCAATACCTAGATCAAAAGGTTTCGTTCATTAACATAATTCAGGGAATCATTCTTCAAATCCTGATTGGATGTTACTGTGTGCCAGACGCTGTACTTAGGGCTGGAAATCCAGAGATAAATAAATGAGACATTGTCCTTGTCTCCAGGAAGCTCACAATATACCAGGAATATAACACAAAAACATAATAACAAGCAATATAACAGTAAAAGCTTCTCAGGAGAGAACGTATGACATATGATCTACACCTTAGACGGTGGCTGGATTTCATCTAGAAAAGAAAGAGTTAAATAGTGGTTTATTCTTTGTGGAGCCATGAGGAAACCTTCATCCAGTTTTAGCTGCCTGAAGGAAATGTTCAGACACAACTTCTGTTTGATTTGAATGCTTAGGTTTTTGCCCATGTGGCTTGACTGAATTGATTGAACATAGAGTTCAGATTCGTGTGATTTGGAGTCATCAGCGTGGGCAGTTGATGGGTGAACATTCTGATTGCCTTGCAGGTCATCCAACCATGTCTTTGAGGATGTAAAAGTGATTGCAAGGACCATGTCGTTAATTTACCCGTTCTGACAGTTGCTCATTGCTGGCTGGAATTGGTCGGATGGGGACAGAGATTGTTGCTCGACTGTCTCCATGTGTATCTTTACTCCACAGGGAGAAAGAGGTCCCCGAGGTCTTCCTGGACTCCGACATGAGGACGGATGCCGGGGCAGGAGAGGACCCAAGGTGAGTGTGGCCTCAAGCTGTGGAGGTCTTTCCCTGTCTCTGGAGTTTGAGGAAAATCTTAATTCTTCAGCGTAGTTCTGGTGTTTTAGCTCTTTCTCAGACTGAGGGAGTGGAGCAGTGGAGCCCGAGGAAAGGCATCCAGTGCAAAACCTAGTGTTTATTTTGGGGGTGGGGTTGGGGGTCACAGTAAACCCAAGTAGGGGAGTAGAGAAGTTAGACAAAAGGGAAGGTGGCCTAAAAAGAGTGCATTATTATTTGATTACACTGTGGGTGGATAGAGCTTAATCCTGCTGAGAAGCAGTGGGGGCAGTGAGTGCAACTCGCCCCCAGGGGGAGGGAGCGGGGGTATGTGTGCACCAGATCCCATCGGGCATTAGTTGAGGGCTGCTCCCAGGGGACACTGGTGCCCCAGCACTTCTGGCCAGTCCCGTGTGTGGACAGACCTCCGATACCAGGAAAAGCCCTCAGGAGGAGACCCTCAGAGGTGGCAGTTGGAAGCTGGGCTTGAGAACAATGAGATTTTAAAGGCTCAGTGGTAGACTTTGTGCTTAACAAGCACAAGGTCCTGGGTTCAATCCCCAGTGCTTCCATTAAAACAAACAAACAAACAAACAAGCAAACAAACAAATAAATTAAAAGCCAAATTGAGGGATCATGAGTGGGAAACCCTTTTTAGTGGTTGCTTTAAATGTCTCTTAACCTTCTAGGATTAGAGAATGTCCTTTAATAAGGCCAGAGAATTCTTTTTTACAGCCAGCTTCAGAGTCCTCTGGAGTTTTTCTGATCACAGTGACCATATTCTGTATCTTCTACCAAGTTTGTCTTTCAATTACTTTGTCTTATGGTTCCCGGAAGCCTTTGCATGCTTGTGACTGTGTATTCCCATTTTTGTTTGGAAGAGTATGATTGTTGTCATAAACGACAGGTTACTGCTGTTTATGGCTCTCCCCCTACTGTGGGAGGAGTTACAAGGTGCACTTTTCTCCACGTCGCAGTGCAGGGGAGTGGTAATAATCAGTGATGTCCATATGGTCACTAGAGGAGAAATCTCCATTTTGATCCAAAACTTTCAGTTTCTTTTTTTAAAATTTTATTCTCAATTGAAGTGTAGTTGACTTACAGTGTTAATTTCAGCTGTACAGCAAAGTGATTCAGTCATACATACATACATATATATATATTTCAGATTCTTTTCCACTGTGTGTTATTACAAGAAATTGACTATAGTTCCCTGTGCTAGACAGTAGTTTCTTGTTGTTTGTCTATTTTATATATAGTAATGTGTGTATCAAAATTGCAGTTTTTTGAAATTAGGGAACATATGGTTTCCTAAATGAAACAGTGGCTTAAAAGTGTCATTCAAGCTCAGTTGTTTTTATTTGTTTTGAATTTTAGAGAGCAAGAGGATTTTCTGGAGAAAAGGTGAGTGGTCTTCCTTATTCTCAAACTGGGGAGTGGCTTCTTTGGGAAACACAACATCAAGTTCACTGATTTTTTCTTTTGCTTGAGTAAGGTGGGGCTTAATACTTGGGGATAGATGTGTCAGATGGTGTTAACAGCCAAACTGTCACGCTAATGAATGGCTGTCTGTAAGGTAAGTATTCCAGGTTTGAATCTGGATCTATAAGATAATTTTCAAGCCTTGCTGACTACAATGATGGAGCCACAAGATTATCATGTTTATCTGAAAGAGTTGGTTCTGAATTCAAGGTGTGTTCAGGAGGGTTTAGTCACGTGAGGTGTCACGTGGGAGAGGGATGCAGGACAGGGCTGGTAAGGCACTGGTGCAGCAGGGAGTGGCTTTACATCCAGATTCAGAAGCCAAGTACCCATTTGCCCATTCATTCATTCATTCAACAAACATGTATTAGGTACCTGCTCTGTTCCCTGCATTATCCTAGGGAATGAATACCAAGTGATGAATGAATCAGACAAGGGCTAATGGATCTCATTTACCAGGTCTCCTGGGACCACTATGTCCTGTGCCAAACGTAGCACGTGATTCTATTCCTAGAGTTTCCTATGTGTATTTTCATTCACTAAAATCAGCTGTCCTTTGGCTAAAAAAAATGTCTGAAACTTGATTTCCTCGTGTGGCCAGTAGGAGTACATTGACCACCCCACGTGTGTAAAATGCATTTTATTCTGCTTGCAACACTCTGGATCTTTTTGTTTTTTCTTCAGAAGATGTTTTATAATAAATAGATTCTCTGTCCTTTCGAGTTGGTTGGTAAAACAACGAGCCCGTGATTTGAAAGCGATGGAAAGCTTGATGGGGTAGCACAATGCCGCGGCCAGTTCTTACTCTTATCGTAGTCAGCCCCAGCTTTTCAGCTCTTCTCTAAAGAAGTCTTTTTTTTCTTTTTTTAAGTCATAAGTCTTTCCAAATGCACACACGTCCAAACACACTCATTTAATTCCTGCTTAATCTGTGATCTTTGGAGTTTCCATTATGCAGATTAATTCAGGCATGTTTACCAGTCTTTTTATTTACTTATTTATTTTGTTGGGGGAAGATAATTAGGGGTGTATATTTATTCATTTATTTTTCTAATGAAGGTACTGGGATTGAACCCAGGACCTAGTGCATGTGGGGCATGCCCTCTACCACTGAGCTATACCCTCCTCTCTTTGCCAGTCTTTTTACATTAAAAAAAAAAAGGTCAATGACACAAGGACCATCGTAGACAACCAGTGAGAAATGTTTCATTCAGTCTGGTGAGAGTTACCGTGCTTGTCCCAGTGTAAAAGTTTAAAAGGAAGTCTTTCTATCCATTCAAAATCTGAATTTCTTTTTTTCTTCTATTTTTCTTTAGCATCTGAAACTGTCAGGAAAAACAGTATATATTGCTAATATCCATTTCAGGAAGAAAATAATCACTGCTTTTTAATACTTGAATGCCGAATATAAATGTTGGTTGGAAGACCTAGATTCTTCTACCTTCTGAGAATAATATTAGCAAGGAAATTAACATGCAAGCAGTAACCAGGGACACCTGGTCCTCTGGTCCCTAACGTCCTCATCTTCCTTTGCTCCACAGGGCAGCCCTGGTGAGGAAGGTCTTGACGGCTTGGATGGAGAACAGGTACAGACAGTTTCTCACTCTATGTCCCCAGCTCTCCCCACCCTCATGAGTTTGACATTAATACTCTCCATATATCTCACAACTAGTCTGGAAATTTAAATAAACACGCATGCTCACCAATGTCTAAAGTTAATTTATGTGTTTGTTCTTGTGTTCAAAATACAAGGAACCTATAAACTTAGCTCTCATATCACATGTTGTTGTCGGAGTTTTATTTTCACCTTTTACTTTTGTTAGTTCTAGTAACTGGACATTGTTATAATGATTGCTTTATTTAATCAGTACTTACCTAGCTTTACCATCATATTTATTAGTCACTGATGCCTTCAAAGGAATGTGAAAAGATCACGCTTCTTTTGCCTAAAATACAACTTGTAGATTTTTTTCTTTGATGAAAGTTGTAAATGCTCCTGGTTGTTTTTTTCTCTGACAATTTCATGATTTCACCATTTTTCTTGAAAGATCACTCTTGGGTATACAATTATTTTCCCCCAGCACTTTGGAAATGTAATTTCATCCTCTCCTGGCTGACTTTCATCTTTGCTCTTAAGTTATCCATCAAGGAACTGTTGTCCCTTTGTTAGCGATCTTTGAAAAAAATATCAGACTGCTTTACAGTTTCCTTTGTTTCTCATTTTCTGTAGTTTCAATATGATGTTCCAGGCATGAATTTCTTTTCACTTATCCTATTTGGGACTTAGTAAGCTTTTGAATCGGAGCATTTGTGTCTCCAGGCTTTGGGAAATCCTTAGCAGATGATCATTTTGAAATTTTAATCTTTCCCAGTTTCTCTCATATCTCCTTCTGGAATTCTAATTAGAAATTTGTAGACCTTCTCAATTTATCCTCAATGTCTCTTAGCCTTTCTTTCATATTTTCTATTTCTTTATCTTTCTGTGCCACATTCGGAATAACTTCTTCAGTTTCTAGTTCACCAATCCTTATGGTAAATGTTTAATGTACCATTAACCTGCTGATTGGAGTTTTGATTTCATTTATTCTAATTTCACTTCAAGAAGTTCTGTTTGATTCTTTCTCATATCTGCTTGCCCCCCACCCTTTTTTAAAATATAGATGCTTTTTTTTCCTTAGTTCATTTTTTGGGTTATTTAATTAAAGAAATTTATTTTACATTGTGATAATTCCAACATCTATAGTCATTATAAGTCTAATTTGTTGTCTGTTGGATCTGCTGGCTTCTCCCTCATGGTGTCTACCTCCTATGTGTTGCAATTTTTGATTGACACTCATTTTTGATGGCACTTTATCTGTGAGAAGCCACTGAGTGGAGGTTGTTTGCCTCTGCCACATACTTGGTGGCACTACCTCCTGGGACCACTTTAAAATAAGTGATCACCTTGTGGGTTTTCACACCACATATGTCCAGAGTGATCAGGAGTCCTCCGGCAGCCAATAGCTGTGACTCTTCTAGATTCCTGCTTTCTCTTTGTCTAAACTCTAAGCATCTCTTTTTCTTTATCAGCTCATGGATCCATGTAAGATGTAATTTAATTTGTTATTTGGATTTTAAATTGTTTTTTGAAGGGAAGATTGTTCAGGGTAGCTAGTCTGCCACATAGTCAGATTTAGAACTTTCTACTCTTGGCTAGAATGTGAAACCATGTGAAAAAATTTCCTGGTGTGTGTGACTTATGTAATACAGATTCTTTTTGTATTTCTTTGTTTTTTTCTAGGGTGATCGTGGAGTCCCAGGGTCATCTGGAGAAAAAGGAAACAGGGGAAGTCGGGTAAAGTGTGAGAAGATTCTTCTCCCACATCTCTCAGATTCCTGCTGCAGAAACTGACCTGGACAGCTTATTTCTAAGCTCTGGGAAAGCGTCATCTGGTAGCACTAGTACTGGGTTGGGAGTGAAAGGGTGATAAATATTAGATTAGTCTTTGGAACTTCTTCTTAAGGCCTGACTCTGCTGATAGTGAAATGGGTCATGGGAACCAGCTTACTTAACTTTTTGTGCTTTATCATGGGTATCATTCCCTTTTGCTCAAGCTTTTCATGGCTTCCTGCCACCAGTGATGTAGTCTGACACGCAAGGTCTTTCAACCACATTCTTCACTAATCTCAGTCCAAAAGTGTCCTTCCCAGTCAAACTGGGCTCCTCACTGTCCCCTGGAGATTCCTTCTGCACGCCGAGCTCTGTGTCTCACCCTCACTCAGTACTTCATCCTGGAACGCCTTTTCCCTGCATCTATCTTCAGTGTTTACTTGAACCTCACCTTTCCTTCAGTTTCCACCTCCTCTCTTTCATCCTAATAATGCCCTCCTTGACCATGTTGGTCTGTAGTGACCTCCCCCTTCTCTGCATCCCCAGTGTCCATTGTTTGGACTATATGCTTGACTGTGACTATGCACTGTGCTGGTCACTCTCTCCATGTGAGGGAGGGCAGGTACCTGGTGTATGTACTGCAACTCCCCCTTCCTGTGCCCAGGCAGACATTACTAATCAATTTCCCTTCCCGTGCCCATCCTTCCCGTGCCCATGCAGACATTACTAACCGATGATGGATTCCAGCCTGAAGGATCCAACTTGACACAGCACTGTAATCAGCTTCTGTTGATTCACTGGATTAGATAAAGGGGGTTAAATTTATTTACTTATGTTTCTATTACCCCTATGGAATTAGAGCAATACTTTTACCCTTAGGCGTGGATTGATTTCCTAATACATGAAACAGAGAGTCGCAAGACATGACTCTTTATTGAGGTTTAATTTCCAACCTGCAGTTTGTGGATCAGATTTTGGAGAAGGTAGAGCACACTACATTCCCTTCAAGACTGGAGAGCCTTCAGTTTCCACCAAAATTAGTTGAACTCAGTAAATGCCTGTCAAGTGCTTCCTACCTGTAGGGCATTTTGGCAGACACAAAGAAGGGTTCAGAAGTAAATGAGTCAAGGTTATGACCAATAAAGAGCTGGTTTGCTGGTGCAGGAGATAAGATTTGTACAGGAATAACTCTAATACAAGATAGGATAAGAAAAAGGCTGTAAGAATGGTACAAATAAAGAATCAATGGGAGCCCAGTGACTTGGAGAGGAATCTCAGGTAGACTGGCCTTTCTCCATCCAATCAGTCAACAAAATTCACTGAGCATCTATTGTAATTTAGGGAAGACTGTAGAATGGGGACCAAAATAGGCATGAGTTCTGTTTCTCAGGATTTACCTCTATGGGGTGAAACAGATATTAATGAAATAATCATGGAAATAGGTGTAAGATTACTGCTGAGATAAGTATGTGAAAGGCAGGGAAATGGCACAGGGATCTGATCCAGCCTGTGCAGTCAGGAAGGCTTCAGTGAGGGAGTAATGATGGAATGAAATTTAAAAGATGGTGAGGGAGGAGGAAGGGGACGTGAGACCAGCCTTCCCTACTGAGGCCCTGTGGCATTTGAGAATGTGCTCAGGGTGGAGAAGACTCAGGCATTCCCAGGGAACACAGGAAATCAAGACATTATCCACTGAGACTTCTGTGAGAGACAAACACACACACAGAGTATTCCAGGTTAAGAAAAAGAAAAGGCTTAGATTAAAAGAACTCAGAGTGGTTTTGGACAAACGAAGATTCCACTTCAACAGAAGTGGAGGGTGAGATCAAAAGTATAAAGTGTGGGAGGACAGTCTGGAAGGGCAAGTCGGAGCCAGTTTGATGCCATATTTTAAGGGTTTTGTTCTTTTCTGCTGAGTCACCAGGTGCTGTTGAAAGTTTCTAAGCAAGGAAGACATGTGTTCAAAGCTACAGGTTTGGAAGATTACTCTGGAAGCCAGTGTCTGGGTCAGAAAAAGGAAGGACTATATGTTGGACAAAACATAATAGGCACCATATGTCAGGCCCTGTACTCAGTATTTTAATTTACTATTCCATTGAATCCCTGTAACAGCCCTATAAGATAAGTATGTCTATTTCATCGATGAGAAAATTGTTTTGAACTGAGAAGTCAAAGAAATTTGCCTTGGTTGTCAATTAAGCAGCAGGATTAGAATTTAGAATTAACTAATTATCAGACCGGGGAAGACGTGAAGAAAGGTCTCCAGTGACATTATGAGATGGCTTCTTGTGGAACCCAGAGAAAATCCCATTTCCTGTGTGTCTGAGAGTCAGATTTCAGAGGGGGCCCCACTTTACTATTCTCACTATTCTCAGGGTGTGGTGTGTACCCTCCAGAACCAGGTACATAACATCATCCGAGGAAGGCTCCTGCAGTGGGGGGGGGCTCTCCCCAATTCTGTGATTCTGTAGGAACTATGGCACAGAGGTGGTACCACTAACAGCAAGGTTTAACAAAATTTTTTTTTTATTGAAGTGTAGTTGACTTACAATATTAGCTTCAAGAGTACAGCAAAGTGATTCATTTGTACATATACATACACATATAATTTTTTCTTTTTATATTCTTTTCCATTATATGTTATTACAGGGTATTGAATGTAGTTTCCTGTGCTATACAGTAAGAACTTGTGTTTATCTATTTTAGATACAGTCATGTGTATCTAACAGCAGGTTTTAAGAGAAGCAACCATTTGCTTTTCATGTCATAGTCTTATGGCAAGTTCCTCCACCTCTCTGGTTCCCTGCCTGTAGCAGTCAGGAGCTCCAGAAGCATTTCTCTCTCTTTTCTTCTCTTTTTCATAAGATCTTGCGCTGCTAGTACTGATGGAGAAAGCCTTCTTTTCCTTACATGTATTTCTGTGTAGGAGCATCAGAAATTTGTGAAAAGATCCAGGGTATTGGTGGTAGGGGGACAGGGTCTGACTTCTCTGAGCCTCAGTTTCCTCATATGTAGCAGGTTAATTCTTGAATTGTGAGGCAATGCACATATAGGGCCAAGTGTATCCCAGATTTCCAATAAAAGTATGTTCTTTTCTGTGTCTCACCCTCACCTCTTTGGCAGCTAATGCTTTAAAGTTCACGTACTACATAGCTCTTTTACTTTGAATCTCATTTGCCATTTCCCTTTAGGCAATAGATGATTTTAAAAAGTGACACTTTTTAAAAATTTGATTTAAGGGCTTGCCTGGACCACCTGGACGACCTGGCGAGCGTGGAGAGCCTGGGCTGAGGGGAGATTTTGTGAGTAGTGGGGCTTCAGGGATTTCTGCTGCTCTAATCCAGGGACTGTGAATTGTTTGCTTGGGCACAAAGGCAGAGGACAATGAATAATTCATTAATGAGGCATCTGTTCAGCCTGTCTTAGTATTGTGACCAATAGGAGATTTGAAAGGAAGTCCATCTTATACAGCGTTTGGGCTCTTAAAGAGTTTAGAATTTTAACTGCACTGGGTATTTTGAATACTGAGCAGGCTCAGACAACTGAAAGGGTCCACTTTGGTGCCTTTTCTTTCTTAATAATCATAATTTTCCTACCCATTTGAGCTAAGCAACCTTTTATTTTCCCAGGGAGATCCTGGAATTGATAGATTCACCCAAGGCCCCAAGGGGGAAAAAGGGAGGCGTGGACACCAGGTAAGACGGTCTCCATCCCTTTGGGGCTACTGGTGCCCTGGGAGCAGATGCTGGCTGGGGCAGGAGTCGTGGGCATTCAGGTTGGATCAGTAGAGAAAACCACAGTGAAAATGTATGGTCTCCACTGTCCATGGGGACAAGAGCTCTGAATGCTAATCTCTACTTATATCCTTGTCCTAGCATCTTTGTCTCCTGGTTTATTATTATTTTTTTGTACAGATCTTACCTCCCACAGCATTAGTAATTTAAGTTACTTTACCTCTTTTGTCCTTGGTTTCCTCATCTCCAAATTGAAAATATGGGACTCAATGATGCCTAAGCCCTTTCAGTTTTAAAATTCTTCAATTTTATAATGATGCCTCGATTTAAAAAATGCTCAGGGTCATCACCCCGCTGGCTTGCTTTCTGTCATGGCAACTGTCAATTGATGTGTATGGGGTACCATCCATTTTTAAAGATAAGATCTTTGTCTAGTTCTAAATACTAGAAGCATTGTGATAAGAGTCATCACAGAAGGAAAAAGACTTGCTATCTTGACAGAGACCAATTTGTTGAAAGGTATTTTTAGATTTTTACTCCCAAGACATTAAAATGCAAGATTCTGAATAATGACTGAAATAACCCAGGTACCTCCAGTTGTTTTGGACCAACTGTGAGGATTTTATTTGGTGAGTTGAGATCAGAGAGCCGTGTGAATTGCCTCAATCAGCTATGGGATTGAGCTAAGGGAACAGCAGGGCAGCCACCCTGAACCCATCCCGGCCCCAATTTCCTCATCCGCAGGGTGGGACTACTAGAGAAACCATTTCAAAGTTTCCAGGAGTCAGTGGTTGTCATGGCAAGAAATGTCTTGATCTGTATCATCTGTGGTTTGCTCATGGTTTCACTGCTGGAAAGGAACTCAGGTCTCTAGACAAACTGTCCGCTGCTGCGTCCGTCTCAGCACCGGGGGGACCCTCCTGCTCACAGCTTTCCTAAGTGTCTGAGGTGTCCATT